TGTTTTTTTTCTCACCTGAAAACCCTCCCCACTCACTTTGCTAAAACTACCTGGAATTTTAGTTATAGATTGTCTTTTTCTGTTTGTTCTTTGTCACATTTGAAAAATGTTGAAGCCTTGGCTATACATTCTTTTGGTATTCATCCTGACCAGTTCTTTGTCATATATCTCTTTCTGTTTCTTCAGTTTTTTTAATCCTTTATCTTTTTCTTTTCTTTTTTTTAATTTAAAATAAGAACCTTACTGAGATATTATTCACGTATTAGAATATTGTCCTTTGAAAGTGCATATAACTCAGTCGTTTTGGGCATATTTACAAAATTGCACAATCACCATTTGTTATCTTAAAAAAATTTTTTTTCATGTTCATGTATTTTGAGAGACAGAGAGCAAGAAGAGAGCACGAGTTGGGGAGGGGCAGAGAGAGAGAATCCATGCTGTCAGCATGGATGCAGGGCTCAATCCCACCAACTGTGAGATCATGACCTGAGCCAAATTCAAGGGTTGGACGCTTAACTGACTGAGTCACCCAGGTACCCCTGGGTTATCTTTTAACTAGAGAACTTCGTTAAGAAAAATGTCAGAATATTATGTCTGAAAGTATTTCTTTTGTCTTAATGAATTACTCTTATTTTTTTGGGGGGGGGTGTTTAGACTTACTAAGTTATATAAACCCTTTCCTTAGAATTCCATATATATTTCTTCAATCCCTGTTGCAGATGAGAATGCTGATGCGAAATTAGACATGATGTCAGTCTAGTGGTCTCTATTTTATATGTTTTATTTTATAAAATCTGAGTTTATAGGATTTTCCTTTTGTCTTTGGATTTGAGAAATGTCAGCAATTAATTTTTTCAGGAATCTTGTCTAGCACTTGGTGGCCTTTTTAATTTGGAGATATAAATTCAATGAAAAATTTTTCTATCCTGTTTTTGATTTTTGCTTCTCTAGTGGTTATTGTTTTCTACTATTTCACCATTTTGATTTTCAGCACTAATCAAGCGATTATTGTAACCTCTTTCTGCAATCATATAGAATTCAATAGAAATTTCGTTTAAAAAAATTTGTTTTAAGTTTAGTTTGAGAGAGAGAGAGCAAGCGAGCGAGCATGAGTAGGTAGGGGCAGAGAGAGAGGGGGAGAGAATTCCAGGCGGGCTCTGGAGCCCCATATGGGGCTCGAACTCACTAACTATGAGATCCTGACCTGAGCCGAAATGAAGAGTCAGACGCTTAACCTACTGAGCCACCCAGGCACCCTGTAATTTAGTTGTATTTTTCAGTTTTTTAAGAAATTTATTTAAGTAATCTTTATACCCAATGTGGGGCTCAAACTCACAACTCTGAGATCAAGATTTGCACACTCTTCTGACTGAGCCAGCCAGGCGCCCCAAAAATATAGTTTTTTAAGAGCAGATCTCAGAGACAGAGTAACAATGGCTGAAAACAAGACCTCAGATACAGAAAACAATGGCTGTCTTTATGAGGACAGATGGAAAATATTAGGATTTAGGGTAGGTTTGGGTTTGTAGTTAGTTTTAGGCATATTCTAGGCTTGAGCATTTATGAACTCTGACCCTTGGGTTTGTATAGCCTCCTCTGTAAAGGGGAAAAAACATTACAATCTTTATGGTACGGTTACAAGTACTAGATTACCACAATTTATTGAAAAAACAACCGGGTGCTTTACTGACATACTCTCATTTATTCTTTGTAACAACACAAGAGATGGGCTTATGATTCTAGATTGTATGGATGAGGATGTTGTGGTTTCTAGGTGTTACAAGTCTTGCCCAACATTCCCTAGCTAATTAGAATTAAAGCCAGAATTTAAATAAAAATTAATCTGAAACCATCTCTCTCAGGCCACTTGAAATATTTGAATAATTTAAATAATTACTCAATTGAATTTACTGTTTGAATGCATCTGTTATTTGATTGACGCCATTATTTTTCAAAACTTACAATCTATTCATGCTACATGCTTGCTTAAAATATAGTACAGACTTAATTTTCCACACAGTAAAGTCTGGATCCACAAATAAGACCAAACAAGATTTAACTTAAAGGTTAGAAAACCGGAGTTCAGAGGCACCTGGGTGGCTCAGTTAGTTAAGCGTCTGACTTTGGCTCAGGTCATGATCTCATGGTTTGTGAGTTCTAGTCCCTCGTTGGGCTGTGTGCTGACAGCTCGGAGCCTGGAGTCTGCTTTGGATTCTGTGTCTCCCTCTCTCTCAGTCCCTCGCCCACTCACACTCTGTCTCTCTCTCTCAAGAAAATAAACTTTAAAAAAAAAAATTTAAAAAACCTGGAGTTCATTTATTAGCCTTAGTTTTCTGTGAATTAAATGCATATATATGATGTATGTGCTTTTCTCTGGGATTCTACTGCTTTTAGGGATGGGTGGCCCAAATTGGTTAAAAATCATAGGTGTGTATGGAGTTTCCTCAAAAATTAAAAACAATTACCATATGACCCAGTAATTTCACCACTGGGTATTTACTGAAAGAAAATGAAGGCACTAATTAGCAAAGATATCTGCACCCTGTGTTTATTGCAGTATTATTTACAAAAGCCAAGATATGGAAACAACCCATGTGTCCATCCCATAGATGAATGGATAAAGAAGATATAATAAAACACACACCCTGAATATTTCTCATCTGTAAAAAAGATGGAAATCTTGTCATTTACAGCAACATGGATGGACCTAGAGGGTATATAATGCTAAGTGAAATAAGTTAGAGAAAGACAAATACCACATGATTTCACTCATATGTGGGATTTAAGAAACAAATGAAGAAAGAAAAAAAGCTGAACAAAAAAAAACATAGACTCTTAAATACAGAGAACATACTGATGGTTCCTAGAGGGAAGGTGGGTGGGGGGGATGGGTGAAATCCTTTAAGGGACTAAGAGTACATTTATCTTGATGAGCACTGAGAAGTATATAGGATTGTTGAATCATTATATTGTAGACCCGAAACTAATATAATACTGTATGTTAACTATATTATCAATAAAAAAAAATCATAGGGCTGTTATCTGTCTTCTCTAGAACTCCAATCACATCGAAAGCAAATTATTAAATAAGGAAATGTGAGCCACAATTGTGAGCCACATATGCAATTCAAAATTTTCTCATAGCTGCATTAAAAAGTAAAAGGAAACAGGTGATGTTAATTTTAATGACATAGTATGTGCCCCATATATCGAAAATATTATTTCAATGTACGGTCAATATAAAAAATTACACATGATATTTTATATTCTTTTTGTCTCCTAAATCTTTAAAACACAGTGTGTCTTTTATACACGTAGCACGTCTCAGTTTGGATGAGCCACATTACAAGTGGTCAGGAGCCACATGTGGCTATCGGCTGATGTATTGGACAGTGTGGACAAACCTCTTGTCAGCTGGAAAACTTTAAATGTCATAAAAGAGTACACTAAATAACACCTCACATAATTGCCCCAAATGATACCAATGAATTAAGTCCAAGTCTTGCCCTAGCCTAAAGATAAAGTTAACAGTGACTTGTAACCTACCATATTCTGGATAGTAAATTACATAATACATGTTAAGCGCTTAGGAATATACTTAGCTTACAGTGGATGCTCCATAAATATTAACAACCATGATTTAAAAAATACTGTTTCCCCCCCCCCCATTTAACAAGCAATTATTTTTTTATTTCTAAGATTTCTTTTTTATTCCCCAAGAAAACCTTATTTTAAAAGGGCAGGCTAATTTGTAACAACATGGATGAACCTGGAGGGTATTATGCTACGTATTAACCCAGAGAAAGACAAATACTGAACTAGGTAACACTTAGTATGTGGAATCTTAAAAGGTGAAAAAAAAAAAGGGGGCGCCTGGGTGGCTCAGTCGGTTAGGTGTCTGACTCTTGATCTCAGCTCAGTCTTGATCGTGAGTTCAAGCCCCTACCTGTTGGCCTCTGCACTGGGTGTGGAACCTACTTAAAAAAAAAAAAAAAAAAAAAGCCAAACTTACAGAAAGAGTAGACTGGTGGTTGCCAGCATCTGGGTGGGAGAAATGGGAAGAGGTTAGTCAGAGGATACAAACTCCAGTTATAAGATGAGTAAGTTCTGATAATCTAATGTATAGCATGTTGACTACAGTTAACAATAACGTATTGTATACTTGAAGTTGCTGAGAGTAGGTCTTTAGTATTTTCATCAGAAAAAAAGTATGTGAGTTGATGGATGTGTTAGTTATGAAATGATTGCCATAATCAAGTTAATGTATGCACATATCACATTGTATACTTGAAATATACTATAATTGTATTTGTCAATTTTACCTCAATAAAACTAGAAAAGATCACATTTCACAATTAAAAAAAAATTAATAGCAAGAAAAAAATAAAAAGGGCAGGCTATTCTATTTTTCTCTTTCTCTCTCTCTCTCTCTCTTTTTTTTTTTTTTTTTTTTTTTTTTGATATATTATCCTCCTACCTCTTAGAGAGAATTAAAGGAAAAATTTAAGATTTTATTCCCCACTCCCATTAATTTTATTTTATTGGGGGTTATTTGCCCCCAATGGTCCCCTGGCCCATTTTTTTGAGTGGCTAATCCATTTCATATGTCTGGTTATTATCCATGGTCTCCTAATATTTATAAATGAAGGACTTAATTATTCAGCATGGGTAACTGATGTGGTCACTGCCTGCAATTATGTGGGCTGATGTTTATTTTTTCCTGATTGGTACCCCCCCCCCCCCAAGGGTGTGTAGGGAGGTGATTGAGAGGCTGGTGGTTTGATTCTTTGGCTCCAGTCCTCTTTTAAATATGTTGCCTGAGAGCTGTCGACTTCTCGGCCTCTTGGCTGTGCTGTAGAAAGAGGTGGGTGCGTGTGGGTGGTTTCTGTTTAGTGTGGGTGGCAAGTGTTCAATTATTTAAAAATGGTAGGGTTAAGAGCCTGATTAGAATATTCACTTTATATCTCTGGCATTGAACACGTTGTTATGTTTCTTTACAGGAATACACATGGCTTGCTAAAAGCCATTATGAAGTTATTGCAAATGCAAGCTCTAAAGGAAGGACAAGGTGGGGAGAAGAATATTCGGAATTTATATACTATAAGGTATGCCTTTTTTTCTTTCTTCAAAATGTGTGCGACTTGTTAACTACGTTATGAACAGATATGCTAATCTGTTAAGAACTAGTTATTTAATTCGGCAGTGATTGTGGGTCTTGACCTCTCAGGAAGTTAGTATTTCAAAGATGCGTAAGATTGAGGCAGAGTTGAGAACATGCCGACGTCACCATTGTGGGTTTCAGGGTTGCTTCCTTGGGTTTGGAATCTGTTACCCAAAATCCTTTCTGCTCTGGAAAATTGTAACCATCTTCCCAATACTGTGAAAACTGTAGAGTTGATTGAGTGAATGTACATAAAGCAGGAGGAGTTTGGGTTAGGTAGGAGGGTAAACTTCCTCACTCTAAAAAGGAATAGGCCATTTAAAGGTTAATACCCAGGGCAAGGTTGGTAGTTAGGGGCACTGATTTGCCTTTTCTTTGTCCTGTATATAATGTAACATGGTAGAACCGTGTTAAAAAGAACATAGCAACATAGAAGGTAGTAACAATTACAGTGAAATACATTGGATTTTATTGAGGAGTTTGGACAAGGGACGGCATCATACTTACTTGTGAAGGTGACCCTAACCGTTGCATTGAAGGTCCCAGAAAGCCATTTCTTAAGAGAGCGTCTCTTAGTGAATAGAGGGCCCCAGGAACTCTGTTCAGTTATGCGTCTGGAATATGCCTGTTTCAGAAGAATGAGAACATGGGACCATAAACAAGGGCAGTGATTTTGGGTGGGGGGGGCGAATGGCTTACATGGTGATCCAACAGGGAAAATAAGTCAGGTGCTAATGAACCGTCATTGGCTTGAGCATATAGCACCTGTAGTTTTGAGCATTTGACCTCACAGCTATCAGAAGCTATGAGAGTCTCCAAAATACCAACTGATACCTGTTACATATACTTCTGGTACTTTGCTTTTGATAATAAGCAAACAGTGTCTCCTGTATTACAATGATCTTTTCTGACATTTTAGTGCTACTTATGATCTTTTTTATTTTTGTGAGTACGTTATTGAGAGTTTCTTAAGCCAGTTTTCTAACAAGGTCAGATTTTCATTTTATGTATTTTCTTCTTGACATGTTTTTTGAATATCTTCAAACATACAGAAAATTTGGAAGAATGTAGTACAATGAATTAGTGAATTCATTGCTAACTTATGAGTTAATTCATAAATTAATTTATTTTTAAATTGAGGAAGCAAAAGGAAAATTGTTTTTTTGAAAATACTCTGGAAACTTGGGGTGTGTAAACTTTTTCAAATTGATAAATGTGATTTTTTTCTTTTCTTTTTTTTTTTTTAAACATAGTGGTGCTCTGTGAGATAACAATGTTTTCATTTCTGGTTTCTCTTCCATCCATTACATTAACCAGAATTGAACCTAAGACGAAGATGAGCAGATTTTAAATATTTCTAGATGAGTCATATAAACATCTGTGTGTGTGTGTGTGTGTGTGTGTGTGTGTGTGTGTGTGTGTGTTTAAAGAAGTTCAAACTCTTGGGCCACTGTTCTAGGATAGAAAATAATTCCATTTCATTGTTATTCATTGGGAACTATTTATTTTAAAATAGGAAAGTCATTCAAGTTTTAAATTTTTATGTAATAGTTTTATTGAGATATAATTCACATACCAAAGGATTGACCCATTTAAAGTATACAATTCAACAGTTTTTAGTGTATTCATAGAATTATGCAACCTTGCCATAATTACTTTTAAGATGTTTTCATATCCTCCCACATTCCTCACCCATTAGTAGTCACTCCATATTTCCCTCCTCCCAGGGGGATATGTCTTTTTTAATGTTTATTTATTTTGAGAGAGCAAGCAAGAGAGTGGGCGGGAGGGGCAGAGAGCGGGAGAGAGAGAGAATCCCAAGCAGGCTCTGGCTATCAGCCCAAAGCCCAATTTGGGGCTTCATCCCGTGAAATTCATCCCGAATTGAGTATTCATCTCGGATACTCAACTGACCGAGGCACCCAGACACCCTCCCAGTGTCGTATTTTTAATTCAGTGGTTTTCAGCACTGACTGCTTATTAGAACGACCTGGGTGTGCTTTTTTTTTTTTTTTAATTTTTTTTTTTCAACGTTTATTTATTTTTGGGACAGAGAGAGACAGAGCATGAACGGGGGAGGGGCAGAGAGAGAGGGAAACACAGAATTGGAAACAGGCTCCAGGCTCTGAGCCATCAGCCCAGAGCCCGACGCGGGGCTCGAACTCCCGGACCGCGAGATCGTGACCTGGCTGAAGTCGGACGCTTAACCGACTGCGCCACCCAGGCGCCCCTAGAACGACCTGGGTGTGCTTAAAAACAAACAAACCTAGGACTAATCAAATGCCCTGGATCAGCTGAATCAGAATCTCTGCTGTAAGGCCTAGGCATTTGGATTTTTTTAAAAAGATCCCACATGATTCTGATTCACAGTGAGTATAAGACGGTATGTCAGCTTGCTCTGATGTGCATTTTCTTTTATGTTTGTAAAAACTTAAAATTTTATTGAAATCCCAGTTAGTTAACATAGAGTGTAGTACTGATTTTAGGAGTAGAATTTAGTGATTCATCACTTACAGGTAACACCCAGTGCTCATGCCCTCCTCTAATGTGCATGCTAAGTGCCCGGGACCTTGTTGATTAAAGGGTTCTTTTTCTTTTTTTTGTAATTTTTAAAAATATGTATTTATTTTTGAGAGAGAGAGAGAGAGAGAACCTGAAGCAGGCTCCAGGCTCTGAGCTGTCAGCACAGAGCCCAACATGGGGCTTGAATTCATGAACTGAGAGATCATGACCTGAGCCGAAGTCAGACGCCCAATTGCCTGAGCCACTCAGGTGCTGCAGGATTCTTTTTCTTTAGGTCTGGGATGGGCTCGGGATTGTCGTGTAACAAGCTCCCAGGTGATGCTGATGCTGCTTTCCACCGCTATACTATATAAACAGCGCTTGATCGGAAGCAGTGTTAGTGGTACCTGGGAGCTTGTTAGGAGGCTGAGATCTCTTACTCTGTTTCAGCCTACCTGGATCAGCACCCTCGTTCCAGGTAGATTTTCCAGGTAATCTGTAGGCACCTTAAAGTTTAAGAAGCTCTGGTTCAGAGGATGGTAAAAGCAAATTTTCTATCATCCAAAGAGTTATTCTCCTTTTCGTACTGATTGTCCTTGCTGTGTGTGATTGCCAGACCTTCAGTCATCTGTAATGTTTCACCTGTTGCCCCGCTTTATAATTTATCATCCCCTCTAGTTGGTTCTTCTAACTTACGGTCTTGTTTTCAAATCAGTCGGTGGAAGGTGAGGATGGGGAGCCTCGTGTGAAGAGCTCAGATCATACTGGATACATAAGTTGTGTCTTTAGAGGGGCGGCACATTAAGAGGTCCAGAATCAATCACCTGAGTTGGCATAATCCAGTAATGTTTATGGAGAGCCCTTGTGTGAATGGCTGTTTGGCACTATAAATCAGTAGAGTGTAATCGAGTGTATAAGAGCCTTAAGTTCCTCCAGGGGGGATTGAGGATGGCAGGAACAGAGGAGAGGTGAGTCTGAAGAGCAGATTCCCCTCAAGAGAGCTATGATTTTACCTGAGTCAAGCATAAAATTGTCATGCTGTTTTAGAGCCTTCTTTGCCACACGGTGGTGAGCAATATCATTCCGCTTTGGAGAGGCGGCTGATGAGCTGTGTACGAAAGCATAGAAGGGCTACCCGGAGCCCAGAGCTCCACTGAGAGAGGCGTTCCCTGGTTACGCTGGAAGATTAATTTAAAATGGAAGTTGTATGACAAATAATTGTAAGCTTTCTGGGAATGAAACTGATCTGCGTTTTGATGGTATTAAGGACTCCGCTAGCCTACAGCTTTGGAGTTTACGCGTTTCTCACTTCTCCTTGTCCTAATAGCAGATTAATTTGAATTTTAGCAAAAACAGAGTCTGCGGTTATTTTAAATGGGTCGGTGCTGAATTGCACAAGTTGTGCCAGTATGGAAGTGAAGAGAGCGGGGCGGGAGCCCCCGCAGCATGAGCCAGCGGCTTCCCCTGGTTCCTATGAATTTCTCGAAGGCGCTCTAGAGAGGGTATTCTCTTTTGTTGAACCTGGAGCTCAGCGGTTCTCAAACTTTCTGTGCCTAAGAAGCGCCCGGGGAGCTTGTTAACAGGACCGCTTCTCAAGCCCTTGCTGGAGATGAGTATTCAGTAGGTTCTGCAGGAGACTTGGGAATCGGCGTGTTTACCCAGCTGCTCAATGATCTGGATATAGTTCACCTGTGGGTCAAATTTGAGAACTATTGCTTGAGCCCCTGGGAGCTTAAAAGTACCACATATGAGCTGCAAGGAGCCCCTTGGGGGCAAACCAGAAGGGATATTGAGTGGCTTAGTCCTGTCTCCTTGCCTCTGTTCCCTGCTTGGGAGGCAAAAAGTCCATTTCCTCCTAAGCACCAAGGCACCAAGTTCATCTTGCCATGTCCACCAAGGACAATAGAGAGGTCGAGAGCAGAACCAGAGAGCATTTCTAAAGGAAAAGCAGGCCAGTGAAAGCAAGTGAAGTACACATGCGAGAGGGGATGTAAGAGATTTAAACTCCACCCGCTCTATTCAAAGAAATAATTCTGTGGCCCTAGCAAGTTAGTGTTCCTCATGGTCAGATGATGCTTGTTTGGAGCAGGAGGGGAAGAGAGTCCTCCGCACCCTCTTGTAAAGCAATACTTATTTGCAGTGTTTGTAGTGTATGAGGAGCTCATCCTCAGAGGGTTTTTTTTGTTTGTTTGTTTTTTTACCGTTTATTTATTTTTGAGAGGCAGAGAGAGACCGAGCACGAGCAGGGGAGGGGCAGAGCGAGAGACACACACACAGAATCCGAAGCAGGCTCCAGGCCCTGAGCTGTCAGCACAGAGCCCAGTGCGGGACTGGAACTCACAAACTGCGAGATCATGACCCGAGCCGAAGTCAGACACTTAACCGGCTGAGCCACCCAGGCACCTTCATCCTCAGCGTTTTTGATCTGTTTGTTTGGAACAT